TTTTTTTAAATTTATTTCTAGGAGAGAGAGAGAGAGAGAGAGAGGCAGCGTGAGCAGGGGAGGGTCAGAGAGAGAGGGAGTCACAGACTGAAAGAGGCTCCAGGCTCTGAGCTGGCAGTCAGCACAGAGCCCGATGCGGGCCCGAACGCACGAACTGTGAGATCATGACCTAAGCGAAAGTCAGACGCTTAACCGACTAAGCCACCCAGGCGCCCCTCATTCCTTTGAAATTCTGCCTCGAATCTAACTCCAAGTCAGTCCATCTGTGACTTCCTTTTCTTGTATGGCCTTCGCCAAACCAAGGGGCAGAATGCCCCGGCTCTATTCATTAGATACATGAGGTTTTATGGCATCGGATAATAATAGCCCTGCTTTCTGGGCCTTTGCAGCAACTTCTGTACTCATGGTGATATGGCTGAGGCTGCAGACTTGAGCTGACTAAAGTCAATAGCAGAAGTGAGCGAAGAGCTCGCAACATTGGAGGGCAGATACTGGTAAACAGAGCAGTGACACAAGACGCTGCCACAGAGAAGTGTGACACGGCTGCTATTATAAATGCGACGTTGTGCTAATGGGGGTGAGGAGGACAAAGGCGAAGGTATAGAATATTTGGGGCTGCAGGACACTTCTGTTTCTTTGTCCTCCCCCAAAGGAACGGAGGGCATAGTCAAGGGATTTTTGTCCATCTTTCTTTATGTCCCCTTAATCCTGCCTCTGCGGTTGAGTGAGCTGAACAGAGTTAGATGGGCTACATTTCCAGACCCGGTTTATCCTCTTTTTTTTTTTTTAACTTTATTATTATTTTTTAAAATATTTTTTTATTTATTTCTAGGAGAGAGCAAGAGCAAGAGAGAGCGTGCGACAGAGAGAGAGAGAGAGACAGCGTGAGCAGGGGAGGGTCAGAGAGAGAGGGAGTCACAGACTCTGAAACAGGCTCCAGGCTCTGAGCTGGCAGTCAGCACAGAGCCCGACGCGGGGCTCGAACCCACGAACCGCGAGATCATGACCTAAGCGAAAGTCGGACGCTTAACCGACTAAGCCACCCAGGCGCCCCCAGTTTATCCTCTTTTAAAGCCCCTTGTTTCAGGTCCGTGCTGGAGAGGGTAGAATGCCCCCGACAGATTTAAGAGCAATCACAGATGAGTTTCGCTTCTGACCTTCCTGTGGAGCCTTGCTTGATTCTCTGGCCTAACTCTTTTTCTTGCCCTCAGCCTTTGTCAGATTCTACAGAAGCATCTTGAGCCCCACTTCTATCTGGGATCAAGTTATAGCAAAGTGAATAATAATAATAATAAGAGGAAACTACCACATATTGAAGACCCGCTATGTGCCAAATATTTTGTGTGTATTATTCTCAATCTTCACAGCACATCCTGCCAAGTACAGTTCAACATCTCCATTTGCTGATGAGTGCGTAGTTAATGGATTCGAGGTAGTGAACACGTAGAAGATTACAAATCTGGCAAAGCTACACTGTTTTTTTTCAGAGCCAAATGTTAAACTCCCCATCACCCAACCTTTCAAAGTCACTTGCGGGTTTATTGTATTTTGATGGCTGCCAGATCCATCTTGTGCAGGCTGAAAAATGAGATGATTTCTACTATTAATTGTTTTCTGTGCCTTTTCTATTCATGTGTAAAAAGTTATTTGAATTTGAAATTGGAATGTACATTATATGACTCCTGGGACTGAAATATAGTTTTAAATTTTTATTTTTTTATTAAACTAAAAAAATTTTTTTAATAGTTTATTTTTGAGACAGAGAGAGAGACAGCATGAGCAGGGGAGGGGCAGAGAGAGAGGGGGACAGAGGATCTGAAGCCAGCCCTGTGCTGACAGCACAGAGCCTGATGTGGGGTTTGAACTCATCAACTGTTGAATCATGACCTGAGCCGAAATCAGATCCTTACTCAACTGAGCCACTCAGGTACCACTTAAATATATTTAAAGTAGTGAGATGCTCCTTTATTATCGCTTTTTTCCATCTTGGATCTAAACGTTTTATTTTTGAGAAAGTAATAACAAAATTGAAATTGACTTGCTCTATTATTTCAGTGTTCTGTTTATGTTATGGGCATCTCCCCTTCTTTTTCTTTCTTCTTTTTTTTTTTTTTTTTATTTCTAGGAGAGAGAGAGAGAGACAGCATGAGCAGGGGAGGGTCAGAGAGAGAGGGAGTCACAGACTGAAAGAGGCTCCAGGCTCTGAGCTGGCAGTCAGCACAGAGCCTGACGCGGGGCTCGAACCCACGAACCGCGAGATCATGACCTAAGCAAAAGTCAGACGCTTAACCGACTAAGCCACCCAGGCGCCCCTCTTTGTTCTTTTTCTTGCTCTTTGATCTTTAGATCATTAGATATATTCAAATTCTTGATTTTTTTTTATTAGGCTCAGTTTTTTAGGATGTTAGTTAGCATTTGTTCCCTATGGTTGTTGGTGTGTTATTTTGAAACATATTTTGACTAGAGAGTCATCAGTGGAAATATTTGGGTTTCTTTAAATCTATCCTGATGCCCTTCACCCTGTAACATCTTTCTTCCTCATTATCATCATTTGAGATTATGTCATCAGACTCTATTGTTTTAACAACCTCTCATTCAGCTTTAACCATCTGCTCAATCAGGGTTTGTGACTTTGAAATTGTCTCTGTCTTCCTCCTGAACTTTTGAGACTGGCTTTTCTTATATTTAGGGTTTGCATCTAAATATTCTCAAGATTTCCGTCTTTGGATACTGCAATACAAACACTGTAGTATCATGGTCGCTCTCCCTCCTCTTTTAAAGTAGAATCAGGTAACTGAAACTTTTTATAGTTTTTATAGGTTTTTTCAGACAGTCATGAGTTTGTTTTTACTACCTTGCTTGCCAGCTGTGTGAAGTTTTCTTAACCTCTTTGACTCTCAATTTCCTCAGGTACAAAGAGGAAAAACTTTCCAGAACAGTTACAATATTAAATGAGAACATCTGTGTGGAAGTTCCTTTAACCTAGTAGGAATCACTTAATTTTTGTTTTTCTTCTTTTCTATTTCTTTAATTCTCTTTGTCACTCAAAATAAAGCCCAGCATCACAATGACTTTTGTTTCTCTCTTCTGCCTCCCAAGATGTGAAATTTCAATAAATACGTATCACAAAGTAGTTATGACTTGTTGAACTGAATATTTTCCTTATGAGGAAATATGAGCTATGTTTGAAGATTCAAAGAAATGGCTGGAAACACAGGGTTAATGGTAATGGTGGGAGAACTGTTTTACTCTGGAGATGCTGATAGTCTCATAATGTCTGTTTTTTGTCACCCTTCCTTCATATACAGATCAAGCAGCAGTTATGATCTTCACACCAAAGGTGTGAGTGTGGTAGATAGTTAAGATATCTCTCACTATCTTCTTTTTTTTTTTTAACATTTTACAAAACTGTGGTAAAATATGCTTAACACAAATTTAACCGTTTTAATCATTTTCAAGTATACAATTAAGTGGCATGAAGTACATTCACATTGCTGTGCAGCCTCACCACTGTTCATCTCCAGAACTTTCTCATCATCCCAAACTAAAACTCGGAACCCATTAAACAATAACTCCCTGTCCGCCCCCCCCACCCACCCCCCATACACACTGCTGGGAACCACTGTTCTATTTTCTGTGTCTCTGAATTTGCCCATTTTGTCCTTTAGTAACTGGCCTATTTCATGCAGCATGCTTTCAAGGGCCAGTCATGTTGTGGCATGTGGCCGAATTTCATTCC